GGGGGCCAAGCGCTGCGGCTAGGACAGGCTATGGGCCGAGTGCCGCGGCTAGTACAGGCCGGGGGGCCGGGTGCTGCGGCAACATGATCAATTACATCCATGTGTTACATATGAGATCATGTACAAAATTGATAGGAGGGGGGGAGGGGTGTCCAAAAATTGTTCTCAAGGAAATTACCAAGTTCTTAATTTTATCATAGTAAAAAGAAGTTTAAACGTTCTTCAAACTTTTATTTATCACAATATTCGTCCAAAAATCTCTCAATTCCGCTATTAGAAGCACTTAACAAACCAAACTGTGAACGATTCGACAACGTACACAAATTTTAACACTGTAACTTATACTCTTTCTTGAAGAACTGTCCACGGAGAAAAATATGCAGGTAGTTAAAACAAGATGTTTACATCCGTATCTTATCTGCGCGTTGCCTAGCAGCGTAATAGAGCGAAACAGGGTACTCTACAACTTTTTCATTTAATTTGTAAATAATTTTTTTAATATAAATCTTGTTGAATTCAAACTACCAAGTTTTTTAATAAATTGATATGGATAGTTTTTAGCCCTGATAATTCTTGCAACATATGACAATGACCTCTAAAAAACACGACTCACGAGTTATTACAGATTCAAAGGTAGCGGCCAACCTCTGTTACTCGCAAATGCCGCAATGAATTACAATTACAATTACATTTTTCAACAATTTTCAACAAAATGAGTATATATTTAAGCTTTAGGTTAGGTTTTGACACTTTCTTGGACCTGCGCGCGCTGCGGCTAGGACAGGCTAGGGGGCCAAGTGTCACGGCTTCGAACTGGCTCTCTCTGTCTTATAATTCAATGCGGCATCCGCGAGTAACACAGATTTGTCGCTGCCAGATTCAAACGGATTAAAACCGATTCATATGGTATGGTTCAATTCAGTCATCCACTCTGCCCTGCCCTTTATACCAAAACCATCTCCATCCCTACTTTATACCTTCTCTCCAAATGTTCTACTTTTATTATTTTCTCCCTCTTATTATACGTCAAGAATCTTTAAGATAAAAAGTTTCATTATCATTATATTTATATAACAAAAATTTATCACTATCGTTTCTATACAAAGATATTGTTTAAAGAAAAGTTTCCATCTTTATTTTTCACCCATTGAAGCTTACACAATATAGTATTAAGAGGAAGTGTCTGATAAGTCCACTTAAGAAAATTACAATTATTAACACTTGTTATATGGAAGTGCAGTTCGAATAATTTGCATATAGTTAAAAAAGTATCAATATTTTTTCCATTAAAGATATTTTTTAAGGGGGGCACAATGTTGCCAAGGGGGCACACAACGTGCCCCGCCCCCATTACACAAAATGCTCTCGTATGCCCCTGCCTCTACGTATTTTACGATATATTTACGTAAAAATTCCTATTCTCAGCTTGTTGGTAAAGAACTTGCGTATATTTACGTATTTATCAAACCAAGCAATTTTATTTAAGTGCTTATGTTTTCTAGAGACGTATTTTTAGGAATAATTGCGTATACTTGTTACCAAATATTTTTTAATACGTGTTTAGGATTTCTTTTACGCATTTTCACGTATTTTTTCGTTTTTTTCTTTACTTAAAAAATTTTATTTTGTATAGAGTTCATTAAGTTTGATGGAAACGTATGTATATTTTCGTAAATTTCATACCAAGTTATTAGGTTTATTACACGTATTTTTACGTATTTTTTTGTTTTTTCTTTACTAAAAAAAAAATTTTTTTTATAGTTTATAAGTTTGATACAATACTTTATTTTCATAAATTTCATACCAAAAATTTTTCACAGCTTTTAGTTTTATATATTACGTATTTTAATATATTTTTCTGTTTTTTCTTTTTACTTAAATAATTGTATTTTTTTCAGAGTTTAAAAGTATGAGATAAACCTAAAAATATACGTATAATTTCGTAAATTTCATACCAAAAATTTAAGGTTTTTATTAACAAAGTTATACGAATTTTTCGGATTTTTCTTACTTAAAAAATCACGAAACCTCAACTGCACAAAAATGTTAGAATTTAAAGCTATTTTAAGATTTTTTAAAGAATTGTTATGTAAGAAATTTAATGCAAACATTTTGATAAATACAAAATTTCTATCATTTTGGAGTAAATTGATGTTTTCGTTAAAATCAATGTCAGTAAATTCTCGATTTTTTGATAAATAGAAGTTCTACAATTTGACAGTCTTAGAACAGATATAAAGGTAATATATTGATACGTAATTGTTGAAGATACAGACAAAATGCATATATAAATGTTGAATAAGTTGATTTAGATGGATATAGATGAAGGAATGATGATGGTGTGAATTTGTGTAGGAGAGTATTGGATAGGATTGGATTGAAAATAATTGATATCTATGAATGGATTTAAGAAATTGTGGAATTAGTTGTATTAGTTGTAGATGTGTAGGAACAATGTGCATGCAAAATTATAGTCATTTTCTTAACATTTTGATTTTAGACCTTGAATATGCCCTAAAAATACATAATTTTTATTAAGAAATGTCAGGATTTTTTCAAACCTAAACAGGAAAAATCAGGCTATTAGGGGCGTTCCAGAGGATTTGTGTAGGGAGGGGGGGGGGGAATTTTTTCGTACCCCCCTTTAAAAAACCCTCTTTTGAAAAATATTAATACATTTTTTAACTATGTAAACTGTTCGATCATATACACACTTCCATATTACAAGTGTAAATAAATTATTTATTTAATTTTCTTAAGTGCAGGACTCTTTAGTCTTTATACTGTGGAGCAAGCTTCAAGGGGTGAAAAATAAGGATTTAAAAATATCTACATTTTCATAGGAACAATACATATTGTATTATAAATAATGATATCAAATATAAATATAAATTTAAACAGTGTTTAAACATAACTTAGCATTGTCGTAGGAGGCTGAATTTTTGAGAACTTAAAATTATGTATATTAAATGCATTTTTTTGGTTTTGAGCGAATCTGAGCAAAAGTGCGCGCGCTTTTAGTGAAATAACATTTTTTTTTGACAGTAAATCAATTTTAACTTCATTAATTGCACTTGAGCATTTACCCTAAAAAAAATATGCGCTCGAAAAATTCACCTCTAAAGCCTTAAATGTCCGCAGGCACGGGCAATAAAAGAAAATATCTTTGTATACTTATATAACTATAAAATGGCCTATGTTAGAATAAAAGTATCATGAGATACATCAAACTAAGCAAAATTGGGACAAGGAATTATTTCTGAAGTCAAAATAGACATTGGAGCGTTCTGACCGGCGCGCTAGTAGCCAACCATTACATTATGGGCCAACTTAGCACAGATGATGCGTGTTGTGTGTCGATTCATAGGAAATTGGGCACGAAGAATTCATTTCTGAGGTCAAAATAAATATAGGAACGCCGCCAGTAGCCGGCAGTTACATTATGGGTCATCTTTCCACATATTTTGCATGTTGCATTTTCCATAAGAATTCAAAGATATTTTCTGGTTTTGCGTGTATTACGCGTATTCAAGAGCGTCAGGATAAATGTTCCAAGTGCAAAAAATTTGTTTTTCTTTCACAAAAAACACGCGCACTTTTTCTCAGATATCCACTCAAACCCAAAATTTGCATGCATTATACATAATTTTAAGTTTGCATACACAAAATCGGCCTCCTATGACAATGCTAAGTTATGTTTGGATACTGTTTAAATTTCCCGGAGAATAATGCGTTTCGTGCTAACCCCCCCTCCCCCCCCCCTCCTTTAGAAAATAAAAACTTTTTTTCAACAAAATTTTTCATGACAATCTTTTCAATTTTCCGAAATAAATTTTATGTATATATTTGTATTACTTACAATGCACTATGGCTACTTTTTATGAATACTATGTATCTAATTTACCCTGAAATCGTGTATAACGGTCCTAATTAATCTATTCCGTGAAAACTCGGAGATTTCAATGAAACATGTCCGGGCTGGGTGGTGAATGGTGATGTAAATGCGGGAAATAGAAGAAAAGACGAGAGATTAGGAAATCAGCTGAATGTCATGTAACCTGCAACAGAATTAAGTGATGTGAGAAAACATTAAACCATTCTAACTACAAACAGACAGGGTGTCCCTCGGCTAAATAAGAGTTAATAATCTTGAACTACGTTGTACATTATTAACTATCTAGGTTTGTAAGTTTCTACGTAAAACCCATTAATCATTTGAACTGCGCGGCAAATGAATACCTAGCATGAATAGCTTAATCATGTGATATATAATGACAAACATCTAAATTATGCCTATTTTAATTGTGCTGTAAATAAGTAACCTGATTATCTGTGATATAGATAACGACGTAGAAATTGTAATTACGTTTATTATCTTTAACTTGTAACATTTAAACCTCAAATACATCAGTTGATAGAGACTCCGTACTGTTTAATACGAGAGAGTAATCATTCCCTGTTGTGATATGGAGGTTGAGGAGCATGTCCATTGGTTTGGCTTTGAAAGTTACAATTGTTTCTGATCGATATTGATAGCTTACAAGATCGTGCCCATTGGTTTGGCATTGATAGATTAAGAGCTTGTGTCCCTGCTGACATTGATAGCTGATCCTCGTTGAAACATACGAGCTGAGATCATGCCCATTGATTTGGCATTGATCGTTACAAGCTTCCGATTGATATCGATAGCTTACGAGACTGTGCTCATTGGTTTGGCATTGATCTATAAAGAGCCTGTGTGTTTGTTTCGACATTGATAGCTAACAAATTGTACTTGGATAGATACGGATTGAGATCCCCTTATGAAGTAGAGCATTTACTACATGAAGATCATTTTAGATCTTTTATTAAAGTTAACTAAAAAGTATGTTTATCTGAAAATGATTCAATGATTATGTTTTCAATGTGGCGTAAATCCCATGTACCTTCATGTAATTATCAACAAAGTAATTGAGTTTTTGCCACAAAATCTAATTTTCTAATACCTATATCTTTGCAACCTGATTGTGTAAACCTTTGCTATTTCAAACTTACACGATTTCATCTAACAGAATTTATAGTTTAAAATATCAAAGGTCTACGAAATCGGGTTTCAAAGATATAAGTATAAAAAATCTAAATTTTAGGCAAAAACTCAATTCCTTTGAACGCTAATTTTGGTAATTTTGGCAGCAAAAAAGGCAAAGACCGCATTTTTGAAATACCAGATTTGATTTTTTTATTTTTGTTCTAAAAACAAAGCATGCCAGTCAAACTAGGCTGGACATTTGAATACCGCAAATCATTTTAGAGACCAAAGAGGACCGTTATTTCGTATCTCAACTATAGTGTAATGTTTAGAAGGTTTCTCTGTATTTAACCTTAATAACTTTTCCAATAAAAAAGTTAAAGTATAGTAATAGCATGCTGTAGAAACATTCTAATATAAATAAACAGTATAAATGAATATGAATAACGATCATCACGTTTTAAAGAAATTAATGACTTCTATCAAATATGTAAAAACAAGGACACAGCACAGTTGTATAATATAAATAATTTGTTTATATTTCTGATTTGTTTACAGCATTAGTCTCCCAATAAAAGTATTTTAGTGATTAAATGAAAAGTACTTAAAACTTACCTAGAACTTTAATGTACTAATACTTTAATGTCTCTGCAACCTGATGTCCTAGACGCTTAATTTTTCAAATTCTGCTGGATCAAGTAATCTATAAATTTGATCAATTATGTGATGATATAGGCGTTATCATTAGGAGGAGGAGGGGGGGGGGGGTGCAAAGAGATTCTCAAAGCTGTGAAAATTGTGCGTCAATTTTTAAGATTGGGTCGACTTTGAAGTGTTACAATGCCTTTGGTTTGCCTATATAACTCGCACATAAATGTACATTTTATGTTTTCAATGAGCTTGTTTATTATATTATTATTAGCAAAAAGCTGTTTTTTTTGCGGGCAATAGTTCACATTTTGGATCACATGTAGGGCAACATATAATCTGATGAGCGTTTAATGATTTGAAACATTTATGTAACATTACACTCATTTTTAGAATTTTCATTTATCGATTTTTAAAAGAGAATAGAAATTACGCTGAAATTAAAAATTCTGAATAAATTTGCTCAGAAATTCTTTTCCATTAAAAGTATTGTAGAATATATCATTGTTTTTCTACCTCTAAAATATTTTGAATTTAACAAACTTCTTCTATTGTCTCTGAAGCATAAGTTCGCAAGTCATTTTTATAGAAATATCAAATTTAAAAATAATTAATTGAAAATATATGAAAATACTTACTCCGGTTTATCTCCAGCACCGAGCCGACTTTTAAGCGACTAGAGAAAGCTGTACAGACTATGTTTGTATCAGGCCCGTAACCAGGGGGGTTCAAGGGTGCAGGTGCACCCCCCTTTCTTCTGAAAGGGGGGTGCAATGACGAATTTGCACCCCCCCCCCAGTCCCATATAAAAGAAATTCTTTCTCATAATTTTCTAAAATCTAGTTACCAATAATATAGCTCAAGCAAGAGCTGATTCCCTTCCCAAACCAAATTATATTCTAATCAACATTCACAGAGATGTCAAACTTGACATCTCTGAAATCAAGAACTTATACATCCTTTAAAAATCTTTTAAAGTTTGAACAGTTGGTTAAAAAGAAAAAATTCATCCATTTATTTTGGAATATAATAGCCATTTTTGGGAGTTTCAAAAACATTATTTTAAGCGAGGATATTTGTAATTTTTAGTCAAAGTAGAAGGGTTTTTTTTAAGTACTAAAAAATTCACTAAGAATGTCTCAATGTCAATAAATAAACTCTTTTAAACAAAATATTAGAAATTTTATTTTTTATTCATCTTCATAATATCCTGATGAGGCCGAGGAACAAGAAGACTTGATTTTAAATAATGAATTTTTTCCTTATAAGCTAAAGTACCATTCATTTATTTTTTATGTATATTGTATATGTTAACTGAAAAGTTTCAGACACTAAAATGTAACCCTTAAAAGCTTAAATACACTTGTTAAAAAGGTTAGTCTTTATAGCGTACATTGACAATGTAATATAGAAAACCATAAACCACCGTAAAAGCAAACCAAGCATTCTTCATTGCTTTTAAAAACACAAAAAAAAAATTTCGCCTGCGCCGCGCTTCCTTGCACCCCCCATGGAAAAATCCTGGTTACGGGCCTGGTTTGTATGGCAAAACAGTACAGTACATCAAACGAATTATCAACCCCTTCTAGTGCTGAATGATCACTTGAAATAATGGCAACAGTCCTTTTAATCAGCAGCGTTAGAATAATTTTAATTTATTTGTTTTAAACAAATAATTTTTGCATTATTTTACTTTAAAACTCGATACGCCTTGTTATTTTCTAGAATTTAATGCATGTGCAAATATTTTTATATATTTAACGATAAACAGACAGATCGCAGTTTCTAGTAAAAATTCTGAAATATAACTTTTGAAAAATTAATATAATTCTGTCTTAATATATTGACAAGAATATTTAGCATGTGCCAAGATTAGATTTTTAGCTTCTGTCATTCCAATTAAAAATAATTGCATTTAAAATTATATTTGTAAAGAACCTGTCAAATCTTTCGTTGGGATGTTTAGAAAGATGAAAATTTCCCTGTATGATAATTGAAGGACTGCAGTATGGTTTTGGTGAATTATATTGACGTACTAAGCCTAGGGGTGTCAGAAATGATTTTTTTTGCACTTTTTTGAAAACGTTCAATATACCTAAAAAAGTTTAATTTTGATAAAACTTTTTGTTCTGGATGATTACAAATATCTATCAAAAACTTTCTTAAACTGGCATATTTTTTCTATATTCATTTAGTTCAGAGTTTGAGTTAAAATAAGTATTAATAAATATTGCTTTATATCGAGTAGATATCCTTATACATATCGATGTGAAACCTTTCAGAAAGTAGGAAAGATTCTGCAGAAAAAAGTTGCCAAACCAAACAGAATTTTTATTTTGAACAAAAATATTTAGAACTTATATAGAAGCTTTTCTGGGTTGCACTTTACTCTAGTTTTGCATTATTTTCATTTGTGTATAACAGTATAAAAGAGGTTCCGTTGATGGTTTAAAACTAAACAGCTGATGATTCAT